CTATTCCTTATAATTATATCATAGCTCCTTATCATTATATGTCAGGTTCAAGAAACTAGGAATCAAGGCAGTTGAAATGACTATCCAGGTTTCTGGATGTTAACACTCTTTACAAGAATCTGAACTACTAACAGTCAAAGCACATTGGCGGTTGATAAGAGTCAATAGAATCCAAGGTGGACTGGACTTAGATCTTTTTTGAGAGTAAAGTGACTGAAGACTGATCGTGCACTTGACCCTTCCCTTGGGCTCAGCCTGGTCATCTTCTACATCATGTTTAGAACTTGTATTACAAGTCAACACATTTTAATATATAGGTAGTCTTTGACTTACAACCACAGCTGAGCTCAAAATTTCTGTTTCTAAACATGACAGTTGCAAAGTGAATTTTGCCGCATTTTAAAATCTTTCTTGCCATGTTAAGTAAAACATGGAAGTTGTTAAGTTAGTAACATAGTCGTTAACTAAATCAGTTTCTTCATTGATTTTGCTTGTCAGAAAGTCACAAAGCAGTAAACACAGGACCACAGGACAAGACAGCCACCATAAACCAGTTGTCAAGTGTCCAAATTTGATCACAGGGATGCTGCCACAGTCATAAGTGAGAAAAATGGACACAAGTCACTTTTTCAGCTGCTGTTGTAACTTGAATTAGTTACTAAATGAATGGCTGTTAAGTTGAAGATTATCTGTACTTCCTGGTGGATCAAATGTATCTAAGATTATATTAGTCTTTGACTGCAATAAATCAACCTGAATTGAATAGAAATATGTTTTTTTAGGGTTCTTTAATGCTCTCAAAGCTTGCTTGTTTCCCTGTGGAAGTTTCATCCCCAAACTAGGGGATGCAAGAAAACAAGCAAGCTCAGAGACCCCTCATGTCAACCCTGAGCTACAAATATTCTCTTTTATTAGTATGATTTTAGTAGGACTTTTCATCATAATGTGCAATAGAGTATAAATAGTAGCATTTAATCTAGTTTAGAAAAAAAGACACAAAATTGAACTATAGGAATGACATATTAAAACTGATAGAATGTATGCATCCATGCATAAATGCACTCATGTTGTTTTTCTGTATAGCAGTCTTTGTTCATTTAATATTGTATCTTATTAATTTTCTGACAATTACTTACTCTAAAAATAATTAATTTTCTGACTGGAAAAGGCAAGTTTTTTTCTTCAGGTTCTAAATAATTCAGGATTTAATAATGTTTACAAGAATAGAAGTATAACAGAAGTTCACTATTCATGATAGTATTATAGATGCTTGCATTTTATCACTAATTTTTTTAATATAATAATTTGTAATGCTTTGCATTTTATTCTAAAAATCCTGACCTTTCTTTTAATCAGCAAAATTAATCTTATTTAATTGGTTACACATGATATTTGTAAAAAAAACACCAAATAATAAATTTAGGTAGCCCTCCCTTAACAATGGTAATTGGGTCAGAATTTTTATCTCTAAGTGATTCAGTTGTGAAGTGTGTCATGTGACTGCACCATTTACCAATGGAAATTCCAATAGTTCCAGGTACTGTCATTAAACAAATCACTGTGGATTGTTAAGCAAGGATAACATATGCTTTTCAATCTCCAGTCAGCTTAATCATTGGCTTTGCTTGTAGGAAACTTGCAAAGATGGTCACAAATGGAGATCACATGACTGTGGGACACTGCAATGTCATAATTGGGAGCTGGGTGCTGAGTGCCTGAATCATAATTACATGACTGCCAGAAATGTAAATACAAGAACCAATCATAAGTATCACTTGTTGGACTGTTATCATTTTGAATAGTCACTGAATGAGTGGTCATTAAAGGAGGAGTTATATAGCCCGTATAGTTATGCCCAGCTATTAAGAAGTGGAGGAAGTGCTAAATTACACTTTATTATAAAAAAAATTATTCTCATATCAGAAAGGATTTAGGCTATTCTTAAGGAATTGCAATGATTCCTGCCTCAACCAGAAGAACCTCATTATTCTTTATGGTTTTGGAAGTCTTCTGGCAAATATTGCTAGTCAGATGTGTTGGATTATAGTTCTCAAAAATTCAAAAAAAAATTCAAAAGCAGTCATTCACGTAATGTCCATTAGTAGCACCATAACTGAGCCTTCCACCAATGACCTTAAAAGCGGAGTTTGTACACATTGGAAGAACTGTTCCATTGAATACCAGGACCTCAAGCTAATCATTCACAATATGGTTTGCAGTAGCTTCAGGATAAAATAGTCTTTCTAGATTATGGAGAATTGATGTGGTTAATTGTACACATTGCCCAGTAATTTAACATGATTATTCTGCATCATTTAAAGCCTCTGCATCATCTTCAAGAGATGTAAAGTGCAGTAGAATAATTAGGACATGAAATTACTACTGGTAAGATACTCACACTATAAAATAGCTAATCAATTAAAACTGAACAGAAATAGTCTTAGTCATTGCAATCACTATGAAATCTAAGCACCAAACAAGATCCATGAATATCCTTAAGACAGATATTTCTACTTTCTTTTCTTGAGACCTCATCACATTTCGCAATGTCTGTTTTTCTTAGCTTTCTGGATCCCTTTAGCTGAAAAGCTACAAATCGTGGCAGGATTAGAACTAATTTATCCTGTAGCCTAACAAAACCAAGCATAAAACCACTTTTTATCTCTTCAAAAAGCATTTTCATGAATTTATTTATCACCAACTTCCTTTGCCCAGAGCTTATCTGTTAGAAACAGATAGATATTTTTCATCGTAGAAGATATAATATAATAATTTCAAAAGCACATAGCTACCACAAACCAATTTGGAAAAACCAATAAATTCATTGAATCTGGATCGATTTAGCTTGAATCACTAGTCTATTATATAACTCAGTATTTTCTATGCGTGGCAGCTTTAAAACATGGCGACTTCTGATGATGCTGATTGGGAAATAAAAGTCCAAACATCTTAAAGTCGTCTACTTTGAGAAACACTAATTGCAGGGGTGTCAAACTGGCAACTGCAGGACGTATGGGTCATGCACAGGCCACACACACATAGCTCGGTGAATGGGAAAAACATTGTGAAATATCACGTGACAGCAATGTGACGCCACAAGTTTGACACTTGTGTATTAATGTATTCCTTAAATAATGAATAGTTTACTACTAAGTTTACTACTAATTTGTATTAGAAAGGATTTTAATGCTTGATTACAGAGCTATTTTCATGTGACTTTAATTTCTGGAGTCTGCTAACATTTTTTCTTGCTGTTCTTATAATCTTCTCAGTTATGATGTCTTTGCTACTTGGCAAGAGGAAAAAAATGAATGTCTGTGTTTGCCACTGAAACCTTTTAAAGCTGTGCAAAAGTGAGAATGGAATTGTTTTAATCCTGGCAGTAAAATATAGAAATGGAAATTATATTTTCTCACTATTTCTCACTACACATCCTTGTTTCTTATTTTGAAGTGATTTATCAAACAGGAAAAAAGAGCATTGATCTGGTTCAACTAAATAGACTTTATCATAATAAGCATCTTCATCCCTTCCTTTTTACTTTCATAGGTATCCGTATAATGTTAGGTTAAAAGCTTTTTTTTTTCCTTTTGCCACTATTTTTTAAATTAATTCTGTGGTCAAAAACAGGGGTATCAAACTGGCAGCCCGCAGGCCATGCCCACACCAGCTCTGCAAAGGGGGAAAAAAGTCATGAAATATCACGTGACAGCAGCATGACACCGCGAGTTTGACACCTGTGGACTAAAGATATTAAATGTAGGGCTTTAATCAAAATATAATTGATCTAAATTAAAGATTCAATATGTTGCAAATGGTTTTGTTTACACTACAAGTAGAAGTCTTGGCATTATGTATTTAATAATAAAATATAGAACTTAAAACAGAGCATGGGATTTTGCAAACTTTGTTTTTAACTATTAACAAAACCTTGCAATAGTAAAATAATTCTTCATTTTAATAGAATTTCATAAACACCTATTGACATTCAGAAAGTTTAAAAATATTGTTCTCTTTCTTCCCTTCCTTCCTTCCTTCCTTCCTTCCTTCCTTCCTTCCTTCCTTCCTTCCTTCCTTCCTTTTCAAATAATAGTGATGCTTTGCCCTTTCTATCCCAGTCACTATGCAATTCAAATGGTTAAGTATTTGACATCTTGGATTAATAAAGTAGAAGTTATTGGACCTACTGTTATGGAAAGATTGAGGTAAAGAGGAATTTTCCTCTCAACACCTGGGTTATTCAACCTTCTTTTAGTCATATAGAATCTCCAGTATTATAGTCAATTGTAGTCAGCTGTATTATGACATTATAAATTATATATCAGTGTAAATATGGTTTCAAAAGGAATTGTTTTTGAAAATAGGTAAAAGGTAAAGGTTCCCCCTGCAGATATGTGCTAGTCTTTCCCAACTCTAGGGGGTGGTACTCATCTCTGTTTCAAAGCCAAACAGCCAGCACTGTCTGAAGACGTCTCTGTGGTCATGTGGCCGGCATGCCAAAGGTGCGTAGAATGCTGATACTTTCCCACCAAAGGTAGTCCCTATTTTTCTACTTGCGTGTTTTACGTATGTGCTTTTGAACTGCTAGGTTGGCAGAAGCTGGAACAAGTAATGGGAGCTCACTCTGTTATGCAGCACTAGAAATTCGAACCGCCAAACTGCTGACCTTTCTGATCAACAAGCTTAGCATCTTAGCACTGTTTCCCATGCTTTTGAAAATATATCTTCCCAATACCAATAAAACAATACTTTAATTTTACTAGGCAATATTTCCCATAAACATTGTGTTGAAATCTGAATTATGCATGTGAAATAGTAAATACACACCTGAAGCAAGATTTAAGCACATTCTTCATTTATCATGTTAAATATTAGATAAGTCAAATAATTGGCAAAACAATGCAACATTTGAATGATATTTGAATTGTCAATTATATAATAAATCATTTCCTAATGAATGTTGTATTTTAAAAAAAGATAAGGATGCTATCTACATTTACCTACTCTGATCCCAACTGGCTGCAAAGAGCAAAAGTATCTTTCTGCCATAGTGATCGCGGTTTTCTAGCACTCCTGGGAATCCATCAATCAGAGCTCGTTTGATCCCTGGATCATCAGCCTTGAAATTTTTAAACATATCCAGATTCAGCTGCCGATATTGGAAATACTGAGCCAATAATCTGAAGGCATCTGTTTGATGAAATTTTCTGGCTCGAAGAAATCTCAGGATGAAGGCATCATCTGTGCGCAAGAATCCAATGTCAGGTCTTGTGATGATCATGTCCCTTACTTGCTGAATATCCTGGTGCAAAACATCTGGGTTTTCATTAAGTTCCAGGCGGGCTTTCTCTATGATTTCTGGACTGAGTCCAGTATGCAAATGGGTCATGTCTTCAAAAGTTGCTTTTCCAAATCCTTAGCTTTAGAAATAGGGTCAGAATATGCAATGGCCCCATTCAATTAAGTCTATGTGGTGATCCATTCAAGTGCATTTATCTCTTGCATTATATTGAGTGGGGAAAAAAATTCACAGGTATTTCCCTTCATATTCCCAGATATCCATCCAAGGTACAAATTTGCATCCTCTGTAAAACAAATATATAGATAAAAATCAATAATTGTGAATAAAGTGAATAAGCAAATTGAATAAGCACATTTCAAAACTCTCTATCTGCCTTTTTACTGCCAGTCTAGATCTGGTTAAAACTGAAAAATGGAATAATACATTACCATCAATTCTGTGCCTCACATACATCATGATGAAAATATAATTGCATTGAGCCATCAGCACTATAGATATTACATTGATTTAATATTTAGTATTATGCTATTGCTCTTATTTAACAAGAATAAAGTTAAAAATGGAAGACTGGGAGTGTGATATACATATGTATTCTGAGAATTAATAACACTTTTTGTAAATAAAACCTGCTTTTCTCTTGCTAAATGGAATTTCATTCATATTGCTTCCAACTTGCTTCCAGAAGTTGTGAATGCTCCAAAACTGGGCATTTGGGGGTGGTTTGCTGCTGGTTTGCTTCATCCAGAGGGGGCAGACTGTAAATTGACCATAAATTGGTTTGCTCATGTGTAGAACATGAAAAAAATACTAAAAAACATGCCAGCAATGGCAGCACTGTTCCCTCTAAGGTGCGCGGCTGCGCGGCTGCGCACATGGCAAGAAAATCCCGCGCAGCAGTTTCTATCTGCCGCGCAGAGATTTCTGTCAAAGCAAACGCGGGAAAGTCCTTTGCAGGCGGCTAGAACTGGCCGCCTGCAAAGGACCTCCCCAGACTTGTTTTGAAGAGCACGGCTCTTCAAGTCCATGTTCGGGGGATCCCTTAGAGGGATCCCGCTGCTCCTCCTT